TCGGGCCGTACGACCTCGGCATGATTTGCGCATGCTTGTATTGCTTGCCTTGAGAGTTATTGATATTGAAACCTCCCCGACTTGAGATAATTGTTAATTAATGGATTATGAATTCAGAGACTTTCAATAAAAGGGAACTCTTACCTGTTTCGTGACTTATTTGAATTTACTGTTGTTCTTAATAAATCCATGATTACTCGCATTAATAATATATTACTATTGGACCACTAGTAAATGTTGAAGTCGACCTCTCATCTCTACTTCTTTGAGGTTAGACGGGATACGCATTGGGTACACGTTATTTTCGTACTCATACTATATTTGCTGTGCATTTTTGTTGCACAAGTTTATGTGTGGCTAGTATCATAGCGGCATGGTTGATACGGAGACTCAGGTGAGTTGCATTTATCGAGACGACCGTAGCCAGCAGAGTCTCCTTCAGAATATTGTATTGCATCTTCATTTCTGTCCACTTGTATTCTGGACAATCACTGTATTTTATTCATTCACTGGTAGATGCTCATGCACTTATGACACCGGTTTCTGGGATGATCGCGGGATTTTTCAGTAATTAAATTTAGTATAGACATCCTCATTTATTCAGTGGAGTTTATTATTTATTATTCATTTGTTTAAAGGAAATGATTTCAAAATAAACAAAATGAGAAATTGCTAGTAAATTGTTGTTGGCTTGCCTGACAGTGGTGTCCGGCGCCATCACAACTTTTAGTGAATTTTGGGTCGTTACATGCACACAAGCTCAGAAATTTTCTTATATAAACAATAGCTTGAAGATAATCAATACCGTAAAGTTTGAGTTCAAGAGCAAAACTAATTATGAACAACAAAAAAGAAGAGAAAAGTGGTTTTTCTTGTCTTGAGAACTGAGATTTCAACTTTGAGAAAAGCTTTCGAATTTTGTTGCCGACGATGAAGCCATCTCAACCGAAGTTCCTAGTTCAGAGAGAAGCGAAGGTTTGAGAAGAAAAGTAATGGAAGAAAGGGTAAAAATATCTTTTCATATTAATTTTAAAATAGTAATGACTATTTTTGCTCAACATTAGAATTGCTGGATAAAAAATAAATACCACCTTCAATAATGGCTACCACACGCCATTTTTATCACTATTTCTAGCAATAGGCCCGTAACAATCAAAAAATATTGAGAAATTTTCATAAATCACTATCTTTTAGTGGTAATTAGCTATCTATAGATACAATTTGCTATATTACGGATTGTAAATACGTTTTATGTTGTTATAAGATGTATTAGATATATTTAAGATACTGTATTCATGAATATAGTAGCAAAAATAGGCGTGAATCAGGGAAGTCCAACTAATCAGTTGTTGTATTCGAGTGTATTCGACTGTATTCATGGAGTGAAACATGGGATTACAGCTGGACAGATTATTGTATTTGACTGTATTCACGACGTGAAACAGGGAATTACACTATTTTTAAACGGAAAGTGAACCAATTAACATAATAGACTCCGAATATAACTCAACAAACTCAATTATAACACACAAATTTTGTATTTCCAGTTATAAAAAAGATTCTCAACCGAAAGTTACCCCAAAAATATAGCAATCTTCAGAGAAATTATATAATATATCTGAATAAATAAATTATATTAATTAAAAAAACATATGAATACATTCATGGCATATAGCGAGACAGTGAATACAATGAAAATACATAGAATACAATGGGATATATTAAAATACAATAAAAAAAAAAGATAGTGAATACAATGAAATACATGGAATACAATGAGATACATTGAATTACAATGAAAAAATACAATGAAATACATGAAAATACATTAAAATATATTAACAGAAAATCAAGTTCCAAACTCCGTCGTCTTTGTTTAAGAACAAGCCCTAATTTCCGGCGAATCTGTCGTCGAGCAAAAACCCTGAATCACTGGGGCTACAACTCTAACAATAACGTTCATTTTCACCTTCTTCTTTTCCCTTTTAGCCTTTTCTTTATTCCTTAGTCCCAAAATAGATGGGGTTGACAATAGAAATCCTCACTTCTTCAATAAAAACTCAACTAATATCACCTTCCCTTAAAAAAAAAATACAATTTTGACTTGAAAAGAATAATAAAACTATAATTTTGAATTTAAACGGAAAGAAATAACTCAAAGCTCAATCAAACAGTTTATAAAAATAATTACCTGTTGGCGAGGCCATTGACGATTAATTCATTGGCGACATAAGAAATAACTCTATGAAGGAAATTTCCTCCACCAGCCATGGCTGAGATTGCACCAACTATCAACAATTAAGAAAGTGAAGCAATAAATAAACAACTACAGTTTTTTATTAAGAAAAATCGAAAAGGTGAGCAAATGGAATGGACGAGATTGATGAAACCCTAACTTCCTCATTGCTTAAACCAAGTGGGTCATAGTCTGCTTTTCCTGCTCTTGATTTTCCTATTGCAAAATTAGCACCAGCAGCCCAATTGATTTTAATCGCTCTATTTTCCCCATCACCAGCTTCTACTACTCTGATTTCTTTTTCTTTTGACTTTCTCACAGCTTTCTTGATCATCAATTCTTCACTGCAGATAAATTGTAAAATTCTTCACTGAATCTCACATGGAATCCAAGCAAAATCACCGTTTGCGACTAATAGTAGGTGATGTGGGTGAGAGGAATTTTGAGATTGAGCATCGTGTTTTCAGGGAATGAGGGAAGAGAATGTCATGTATCAAAAGTAGAGAGAGAAAGAAAATATAGTGTAACTGAATAGCGTATTTAGTGGCTTAGGGGTAGGAAGTAACCAAAATTAGATATTTTGCTATAAACATTAAAAGGTATTTATAGAATATAATTTTTTAAATGGTATTTATTTAAAATAAATAAGGTGATAACCTCTGCTATAGGAGATAAAAATTCCAAAAATATTTTGTGGAAATTCGAACCCAAAACCTCTCTCATCAAACTTGAAGCTATCAACCGCTAGACTACTGAGCTACTTCAATGCAAGTGATGTCACTTTTAATAATTTTATCTTGTATTTCTATTTTACTTATTATATATATATATATTAAAAAAATTCGACGAAGCGGTGTTACGATCCCAGGGGCGAAGCTACACTCTGCTAAGGGTGGTCAATTGACCATCCTTCGTCAGAAAATTACAATGATAGATTAAATATTAGGTTTTAAAGATATTTCACATATATTGTTCTTGGTCGGGAATTTTTTTTTACTTCTTTCAAATATGAACACTCTTTAAAAAGTTTCTACCTTCGCAACTGCACAGTCTGCCCCTGTCATTAAGCCAAACTAATGCATGAAGAGTTTACAATAAACACGGTTTACCACAAGACTTAATGAAAAAACTGACTTTGAGAAAGAAATGTCGATCAAGTGCTATCTACAACACAGTATGATATTAGTCGATGTGTATTGGAATGGAGGTCAACAAAATACGCCATCCACCACAACACTTTAATTGATCGTACCGTCAATAGGGGTAAAACTTCGACCATAATTAAGTAGACTACTTCTAACATCGATCCAACTTTTCATTGGACACAAGTTTTTTTTCTCCTTTGACGTATAAAGGATATGTTCGGGTGCTATTTTGTTTCGGTTAATCATCGTGTCCTTTACAGCTTGTTTGGATGGTTGTTACCTATTGTATTGCATTGTATTGTTAATTTAAATATAATATTTGTTTTGATTATTATTTAAATCTTATTGTATTGTATCATTAAATACGTCGTTACGTAACGATGAAAAGTGTCACTTTATGGACCAATCTATTTAGTGTGGTCGCGTCGTTACCTTATCTTTTTCTCTTATCTTACTTTTTATTATTATTAAATAATCCTTTATCCTACCTTTTTATATAATAATTCTATTCTATAACATAATTTTACTTTGTAATACTGTAAGTTTATTCTTCATATATTACTGGTACGTAATATCATGAAACAACAGCAAACGATACAATTTATTTAAACATTGTATTCATCAAACGATACACTACAATATAATACAATGCAATACGGTACATTATGAAACGATATGTAACAACCATCCAAACAAGTTGTTAATAAATCATTCATCTTTACACCCTAAATTTTTCATAAAATGAATAAACGTAGTACATGATGATATATATTTTCTTCCTTCAACACGTTACAATTTTTCTTTTTTAAATCTTAGGCAAACTTTGGTGTTATTCATTTTCATAAATCTAAAAGCGAACATTGCTTTCACTAGGGAAACCATATTTCGGTTTCTGAGCAAACGTGACTACGGGATGTCGTAATTCTTTGCTAAAAATTATAAGTATGATTGTTAGAATAAGCCTTCAGAAAGATTACGCTAAAAAGTATCAGAGTTCATAAAGTTGAGTCATGAAATTTTTGAATCGAATAATAAGACCATTCTTGCACATTTAAATAATTGAATTTTCACCAATAAGATAATCTTAAGATTAGTTGACCAGAAAGTGGGACACAGGTGGTAGTGTTTGTGCACGATACGTTATAATATCAGCAAGTTGGCATTAATTTGTGTATAAGATACAGTAGAAATCTATACTAATTTTTCTTAGATAAATAACCAAATTTTACGTTGAGAATTACAATAAACTAGAGAATTGACTATTAAGCTTCGTCATGACGTGATCGTGCTGTCACCTGATTCACATTGCATCATTTTGACTTTTTCTTATAATAGATCTATCTTATATAGTATTAGTATAGAAACGTGTCCAAGGTCAGCAATATAATTAATAACACAAGCGAATTTTAAAAAGATGATGATGATGATAAAGTAAACAATGTATCTACAAGAATGTCAAAGACAAAAACAAGACGATTCTTCCATCTTACTTTGAATTTTCTTTGGTCAAAATAGAAACAAATTTGATCTAACATATATATTATATCTGTCTAGCTTTTTTATACCTGTTTCATTGACTTATTAGCCTAATGTTTCCCTATAAAATACCACAAAGCAAATCATTTTTATCCCATCAAATTCATCCAACAATCCACCAAAAAAAAAAAAGGAAATTCCAAAGATGAAAATTCCACTATTCTGCTCGTCCCTTGTTATTTTTCTTGTTCTTGCTACTTCAATAAGCCCTTCCCATGAAAATCAAACATTTCTTGAATGTCTCAAAACCAATTCAAACCCTTCTCATCCAATTTCCTCACTAGTATATTCTCCAAACAACTCTTCATTTCCATCTGTTTTACAAGCTTACATAAGAAACCTAAGGTTTAACGAGTCAACAACAAACAAACCTCTATTTATCCTCACTGCTTTGCATGAATCCCACATTCAAGCTGCGATTATATGTGCTAAAGCACAAGGTTTGCAGATGAAAATCCGGAGTGGTGGACATGATTATGAGGGTCTATCTTATATCTCCGATGTTCCCTTTTTCATTCTTGACATGTTCAATTTCCGGTCTATAAACGTTAACATTGACGATGAATCTGCATGGGTTGAAGTGGGTGCAACTCTTGGCGAAGTATACTATAGAATTGCTGAAAAAAGCAACGTTCATGGCTTCCCTGCTGGAGTTTGTCCCACCGTAGGCGTCGGTGGTCACATCAGTGGGGGTGGCTATGGTAACATGATGAGGAAATACGGCCTTACTGTTGATAACATCGTTGATGCTAAATTAATCGATGTTCAAGGCCGAATCCTCGACCGAAAATTGATGGGAGAGGACTTATTTTGGGCAATTTCGGGTGGTGGCGGAGCTAGTTTTGGAGTTCTCTTGTCGTATAAAATAAAGTTGGTTCGAGTCCCACCAAAGGTGACTGTTTTTCGAGTCCCAAGACTTTATGACCAAAATGCTCTCGAACTTGCTTACCTATGGCAACGTCGTGCAGATAAGTGGGATGATGACATGTTCATGAGACTGATCATTGATGTAGTAAATAGCACTACTCGTCCTACGGAAAAAACTATAAGGGTTTCATTTTTTACATTATTTCTTGGTGACTCGAAGCAACTTGTCTCATTTATGAACGAAAATTTTCCAGAATTAGGGTTACAACAAAAGGACATTACTGAGATGTCTTGGGTAGAATCTGTTCTTTACTATACAAGTTTTCCTATTGCCCCAATTGATGCTTTGCTACGTAGGCAACCTCCATCGGTTACATACTTGAAAAGGAAATCTGATTACTTGAAAAAACCAATGTCAAAGGAAGGGTTGGAATACATATTCAAGAAAATGATAGAACTACAAACGCCAACAATTTTGACATTTAATCCATATGGTGGGAAAATGAGTGAAATCTCACCTTCTGCTAAGCCATTTCCACATAGAGCTGGGAATATAGCCAAGATTCAATATTCAACAAATTGGAATGAAGGTGGAGTTGAGGCTGCAAACCATTATCTCAACTTGACAAGAGTACTTTACAACTATATGACTCCTTTTGTGTCAAAATACCCAAGAGCAGCATTTTTTAATTATAGGGATATTGATTTGGGTGTTACGCACAATGGGAAGTTTAGTTATTTGGAAGGGCGAGTGTATGGGATCAAGTATTTTTTGGGAAATTTCAACAGGTTGGTGAAGATCAAGACAAAGGTTGACCCTGATAACTTTTTCAGGAATGAACAAAGCATCCCAGTTTACCCTTGGAGGAAGTAGATATTATAGGGGGGAATATGAATTATTATATTATTATTTAATAGGTTGTTTTATTTCATTGTTAATTGTGAATTGTAATTGTTGATTGATTCTTAAAATGTAATAAAATGTATTCACACTTAGTGATCCGTTTGTGAAGATAATGAATAATATATTTATAAGGGTTGAAAATTATTTAATATGATTCGATTACCTTTCGAGAATAAATAATTAAGCTTTATTAACTCTAATCTTGAGTTTTTGTTAGTGATTCGATCGGATCTTCAAAATTATACGGGAAGCAAAAACAATAATATTATTTGTTTCATCATTTTGGTTAATTAATGGACCGTATAATTCTCAACTCCACACGTGGATGAAGAGGATTAGAGAAGCTCAAGAATTGATTCTCAAGCTTGTATGGGCCAAAATCCGCTCTAGAAAATTTGAAATAACATAATAATAAGGAAAGGGTTCTCGAGCCGCCGTTAGTCAAGATGGATCAGGAAGCAGTAAAGCTCACAGCCGAAGAGTCGACATGAGTCGTGGTCGAGGTGCCAATCATGGTCGAGGTCGAGCATCATCAAAGAAGTAGTTAAAGAGAATATTCTATGGATATTCTCTGTACATGTACTATTAGGGTTTAATAAGAACATGCTTCATATATAAAGAGAAAAAAAAAAGAGAGAATAAGGGCACGTGAGACTCAATTGTAAGAACAACACTTTTGAAAAAGATTCATTCTTCACTCAATACAAGACTTTACTTTTTACTAAGATTCTCGTCAGATCCAAGGAATCCTCAATCGTTTGAGGATCTATCGTTCAATCATTATCAGGTGGAAGGTTCTTTTGTTCCACCTCTTGCTGATTAAATTATTCCTCTTAATTACATGAGTGTCATTATATTGTCATTTATCTAATAGCACACACGGCGGTTGTTCCGTATCAGAATATTTTTTATTTTCACATCTTAAATCTGAGACTTCTTATTAAGGGTGGATGAATTCTGTCCAACTCATTATAATCGCTCCTATTGTTTCTTCACAACTACTTCTAGAGAAGCGTTGTCGTAAATGATACAACTGCAAACGACCGCCCCTAACTTACTTAATAGTAATAGTTAGTTGTTATTTTTCAACTAAAAAATGTTAAGTCTTTTATAAACTAATTAAATAGGAAAGTTTGAGGTAAATCCTAGCCAAAGATAATTCATCCTAGATCTGAGACAAATGATAAGAACAAGAAAGCGTAACTGGACATAAAATTTAACCATAGCCATAACTGAATCCCGTAAAATAAGAAGAGGATGGTAATTTTTATAATATTAAACAATAATGAAGAATACATAGATAAAAATGGGCACCGATCTTTAACAAGGTTGACCCCTATACATTTGATATGATGAGACTAACATTGTATATATATTGAGGATCTGAGTTTCTGTGCTTCTTTCTCTTTAGTGAGGAGAAAGAGATGAAGATCCTTCTTCTCTAAAAATATGTCTCTATGTGAGTTTGTTTTAGCCCCCTTTCTTCTCCTTCTCACTTAGTTTATATACTAGGTATCCTCATTTACCCAACGGTCATTAGCCATAGTACCTCAGCCATTTGACTGTATTACTGGTTGACTCTCTGAAATGCCGTAACATCCTATTCGCCGTTTAACCATTCTGAATACATGACCTCGGCCGTGGCCAAGGTGCATGTCGTTATAGCGTTGTATGATTACGACTTCGACCCAAGTGAGTTTTTGGCGTTCCTCTTCATGCGAATTCTCGTCTGGTCAGATTTCGACCCATACAGTTGTGCTATTCTCTTATCATATTGAATATTAAATCAAGTGTCATAATTAAAACAGGGATGCAGGAGGTAGTTTCCACATGAAGAACTATAAAAGCAGTTAAAAATAAAGATAATACTTCCGCCTAGTATATGGGTGCAGGGATGATGGATAGACTAATACTACTAATTAATAAGATTTTTGCTACTCTTAATGGACCGGCCCCTGAACTTAATTTGGTCTGCTAGTGTGTTTAATGCTTCATGATTTGCCAGGTTTTTAAGGTCCATTTGACATAGAGTTTGCATATTGCACTTTCAATTTTTAATCTTTGTTCGTGTCTATAAAATCTTTGTATGCGTTTTATTTTCTATAATTTAATCTCGAATAACTAATTGAAAGGAATTGTCAAGTTGAGAACTGAAATTTGATTAGGTTGTTTAGTGCTAACATGTAAACTGACATGCGATATACATTATTCAGGCACAGTCACAAGAAAAACGGAAAAGATATATTTTCCCGTTTCAATTTATATGAATATGTTTGATGACTGAGTACAAAGTTTGAGAAATAAATGAAGATTTTTTGAAACTTACAGTCTTAATTAAACACATCATAATATTTGTATGGCTATTAAATCTTCTATTAAGAATAAAATGAAAAGTTCAAGTTAAATAAATATCATTCCTCTTTAGACGAACTAAAAAGAAAATAGGTTTACATAACTTAAAACTGATGGAGTACAAGCTAATCCCTTAATTAGCTAATTAAAACTAGTATATCTACTGAAAAGGGGACACAGTTAACTAAAAACTTGTTGTTCTTCTTATATTACTTTTCCTTTTTATTAATATATGAGGACCATATAGTATTATTTCAAGCTTAAACTACTTTTTTCGTAAAGGGTTGAACACACATGAAATACCTCATTGTGCTCCAGTAAACCCACTTTTGAGTGGAAATAGTCAATTTTGATAGATTGCTGATGAAGAGGAATCTATCTGCAAATGATTTGCTGTAAATCATAAGTGGACAGCGATCTATCGCCATAAGTAAGTGAAATAAAAACAAAATAGTAGCACGCTTTGGTCTAAATTAAGCTTAAAAGCAGGGACGACACTTTCATAAAGCAAGTAAAACAATCGTTTTAGGCCTTATATTTGTGAGAGCACCATTTTTTGTTACACCTATAGATTATGTATAAGTTTAAAAAAGAGTTCTGTAAAGTGAAAAAAATTTAATTTCTTTCTTTAACCAATATAGAGAAGAATAATTTGCAACTGCTATGATTTCTACCACGCAAATTGCACATGAAATGAATATCGAACCCGAAATTAATTCGCAAGAAATGTGTGATATATAGGAAGTAACAATTTGATGCAATATTGATAATGAAATCTCAAAATCTTTCGAAGAGTCCTTTAGAGTTGATTACTTTTATACATAATAGACAATGCTAATTTTTTTTACTTCAAAATAGATTTGAACAATTCGAAGCGTATGAAAATATTTTTAATTTTCTATTTGGAAAAAACTAGATCACTAGATGTTGAAAATTTGAAAAAAATATTGCCTTAATTTTGGATGGTCCTTAAAGCATAATAATCAATTCGATATTGATGGTTTAGATTTATTTTCTGAATTAAAAGTTTTAAGAAAAATAGTACAATTAGAAGATAACAGTTTAATTTATACACTTAATCAAATAAAAAGATTTAATTATTTTCCAAATGCCTAAATTGCTTATGGAATAATGTTAATAACTCATACCGTTGCTTCAGCGGAAAGAAGTTTTCAAAAGTAAAATTGATAACATCTTACCTTAGAACAACAATGTCACAAGAAAGGTTAAATTGATTAGTTATATTGTCAATTGAAAAATACTTATTAGAAGTTATTCACTGTAAGAAAATTATTTATAACTTTGTGTCTAAGAAAAGCTAAAAAAATAGATTTCAAACAAAGTATAAAAAAATTAAAAAGATAAGACCCCTACTCACTCTGTGAAGTTATAACATACCTACCACAGAAATGGGAAAGTAGCTAGATTAATAGCCCGTTTGGCCAAGCTGCAAAAATCAGCTTATTTTGAGAAGTGCTTTTTGTCAAAAGTGCTTTTCTCAAAAGTACTTTTTGGCAAGAAGCAGTTTGTGTTTGGCTAATTAGTTTGAAAAACACTTCTGAGCAGCAATTAGTGTTTGGCCAAGCTTTAAAAAACTGCTTCTAAGTGTATTTTTCTCAAAAGTGTTGTCACACCCCTTTTCTACCCTTCCAAAAGATATGTGTTGTGGGTTTTGTGGGTTAAAGAGTTTTTCCAATTAAAGTGACAAATTTTGAAATAAGGATTATTTTTGTTATTCAGAGTCATCACTTGGAATTGATTTTTTGGTGTTCCAAGTCACATTTTATTTGAATCCCTAGTCAAAGGAAGGTTTGACTCTTTTATTATTTGTTTGCAAAAACAAAGTCTGGATAAGAAATTCTGTTGACCGGGGAGAAGGTGTAAGGCATTCCCCGAGTCCCGTTGTTCTAGCACGGTCACTTTATTGACTTAAACTTGGCTTTAATTAATTACGAATAAACTGTGATTTGAATGATTTTCATGTCTTACCTATCCGCTTTTATTTCATGATTATTAGAAAAATTAAAGAATATAATAAAATGTCATAATCACACTATGCGAGCGAATGCGTGATCGAGACGAAATTTGTTAATTTTGTTATAACAGTGCTACGCAAGCGAATCCGCAGTCATGACAAGAATTATTATTACATTATTAATTTTTTTGAAAAAATTAAAACATTTGAGAATTTTTTTTTATTTTATTAAAAGCTACTATCATGCTACACAAGCGAATCCGTAAAAAAAAGGCTGAAGCATGCTTACTATATGCCTAGTGTTTAAATTAATTATTAAAGTTATTAAGTCATTAAAATATTTTAATTACCAAAAAAATCTGATTTTTATGAAAATTAACTAAGTTTGGGGCGAGCTTTGATGTAAAAAGAAAGAAAAAAAAAGGGGTCAAGCTGCTAACCCAAACCAAATGCAAGACCGATTCAATTGATTGGAATGACAATGAAAAAATAATAGTCTCAAAAATAAAAGTGGCATGTTATATAAGGTGGAATCCAATGTGTCGTTCTAACATTTTCTTTTCCTTTCTTTAAGAATCAACTTTTATAAGCCCATAATTCCATTAATCTAAAAGTAAAATCACATGGCCCAGGACCCCACACCTATGTGTATAATCAACTTAAACTAGTCTTTTTAAATATGCAAACTCTAAAATAATATTACATATGTGTACCGCTGACTTGCTAATTGAACAAAAGAAACGAAACAAAGTAAATAAGACTCACTTCATTATCACCTATTATATGATAATAATAATTATGTACTCTAAACTTAGTA